TGCTAATTTTAAGCCGATGAATATTTGTTTTAATCAATTAAAGTTAATTTTTTTGAGTTTTAAGCGCCTTTTTGGAATCAAAAACTTCAAAATTTCAAAAAACTGCAAAAAGTTTTGTCCAGTTACTCTTGTTGGAAATATGTTTTTGTTTCCTATTCAGACGCAGATCTAAGATTTTATCGACGGCGAGGGCTTGTGTTCAAAATAATTTGCGACTTTTTTGTCGCCAGAAAAAATAGAAGTGTTAAGCTCTCCAAAACCACGATAACTATCCTATTTTACCCAGAAGTTTTTTCCAACTCATGCAATTTTTGCCAGAAAAGGACAAAAATTAGGTTTAATTAAGCTTGTAGGCAACCAAATCCCCCATAATGTTTTGTGTATTTGGGTGCCAAAGGCCCAAAGGCGCCTGCTTGAAAAAATTGAGGTTTGATCGACCAAATATTGATGACGTAAAATAGTACCAAAGAGTGGTCAATAGGTGGAATCCCTAAAGGAACCCCTAAACCCGCTACTGAATCAATGGATAAATTAGTGAAACAATATTCAACATGCTATAGTACCATTTGCTTTCAACGGGGTATCACATGCATCGTGATTTTAACGTAAACATTACCAAAAAAATCAGACGAATAGAAATTTGAGATAGCATTGATTGTAAGGATACTTTAAACCCTATGGAGAGGCGAAATTAGAAACCCTTTCCATTTTGTTCCCAAGGCACTAATCGTGTGTTTTATTGCATTGTAGCAACAAAATGACGCAGGCAAGGACATCTAGGGAGATATGATTTACTGCCGACAGCTCAAGTAGATAGAACAGCGTTCTGCTCATGAAACCCGAAATCAAATGGCAGGGTAGTTGAGTTATCTAATTTACATGGGTCAAATTAGAAACACTTGTGACTGTGATTACTAGAGATAAGAAAAGTTTTCATTTCTTGAAAAAAGTAAAAAAAAATTCTTTCAGCCTGATTCCCGCTAGAGTTTACTTTTAAAATTCAATTTCTGTAACATCCATATGGTTGAATTTAGGTTTGTGACTAAAATTGATGCTGAAAATTTAATTTGCAAGTCTCGTAAAAAAAACTCTAGGCCACATGGTACAGGCAAATTCACCATTGTTTCCTCCATTCTTGCGTCTACAAAAATGTAACCTGAAAATATAATGCGTCCCTGAATAGCCTGCAGACTGGAAGTAATTGCTTTTCACAGAGAAGTTGGCATTGAATAGGTATCTTGCTTTATTACTCAAGCTATCTCGACGCTTTTCCATTTGCAACGAGGAAAATGTATACATTCCTATAATTCCCCTTTCCCTGTTTGTATATTAGTTGCGGTTTGCTTATCTCCAACTGGTGTATGAAAGCAAAATAAAATAGTTCTTTCATGTAATTTGCGCCTAATTTATATTGGCTTGAGCAGCTTGCACACAGATTTTATTCAAGTTCAAAAGAAAAAACTCCAATTTTTTTCATGCGCGCTAGCGTGTAGACGCAATTTTCCACAATCAATTTCAGCAAAAAGAAAAGCAGCTATCAGGTACATTCAAAATTATTACTTTTTTCACTGAAATCAAAAAAATTCCAAATCTTTCTGACGCTATTCTAACGCACCTAGCTGTTCAAAAACTATCCTTCAAAAATTTATCCTCACGCGCTTATTTTTGTTCCGACTTTCGAAGAAAACGGAACATTTATGCTCGGTGTGGTTTTTTTATTCAGTCAGTTTTCACCGATCGAAATAATAATTTTCAACAAAAATTTTTTATAACCCATTGAACTGTTCTGGACTAAACTATGCGTTTTGAAGAGTTTATTCATAATGCTGAAAGCGTAACGCGAACTATTTATGCGTGGCGTATTATCCCGTAGAACAAAATTGCTCCAGTTTTAATTGAGGCTAGCTAAGCTAATCGGTCGTATTTATTTCGTACGACTAATTTTTTTCATACTTGACTTTTGGTATTGTTCAAAATGTATAGGATTTCAATAATTTCTTTTCCCAAAAAAATAGTCGATATGTATTAAGGGACAGTCAGAATATTCAGAGTTTTGCCCTGATATATGAGCAGTCTTGTTTTTCTTCAAAATTGGTTGTTTGTAGTGCTGCGGGAGAACCCAGAAAATTGATATATTCAATCTAAGAGCAGCTACTCAGAGAAATTTAATATTTACGGAAACGTTCAGTAAATTTATGTATCAGTAATTTACTAAATCAACATGACTGCTCGTATAATGGCGAGGCCCTGAATGTCCCGATTGCCTTTTCAGGTTTATGGAGAAAAAAATTAAATGTAATAAAATGAAATAAATTTTTTTTTTAATTTGAGATTTTTCATGAAAAGCATTACCCCACACGCCATATAAAGTACAAAAATGTAGATTTTGCTCCTTATAACAAATCAATTCTGGCAAATAAGCTTCTTCATTACCAATTTGGAGCGGTTTCTAAGACGAATTAACTCTCCAATTACGCGTTAATAGCGCGAAATATCGCGCGTTAATTGTCCCAAATTGGCCAAAATGGCAATCTTTAAACACCCATAACTTTACAAAAAATGAAATACAAGTGAAATACATTTTCAAGTTTTAGCTCAATACAAAAATACCTTTTGATTATCATCAAAAATTTTGTCAAAAATGTCTCGTTAAAAAGTCGAAATTGGTCTGAAGAAAAAATCCACCCCGAGCACAAATATTCCGTTACTTTTGTTACGAAAGTCGGAGCAAAAAATCGAACTACGTAAAAAAGATTTTGATTGCTTTTTCCATGATTCATAGAAATGATCTTTCTTGCGAATTAATATTACAACTTAAATAATGTTCATAAATAAGGTTTATGAAAAGAGTCAACAGATTTCAGTTTTTGCTCAAATTTTTATTGTTTAGCGGAAAAAATACGACTGATTTTTACAAATCGGAGACTTCAATCCACGTGAGTATTTAACTGATTGATGCTTTATATGCGGGGCTTTGTTTTAGTGATCCCGGACCAATCATTTTCGATTCGCTGATACATCGATTTACTAAACTACCACCATTTTCTGTCAATCTTGAGAAAACTTTTGCTCCGACTACTTCACGAAATTAAAAAAAGGGATTACCCATTGTTTCAGACTGGGATGATCTTGCAATGTCATACAAAATCTTCCAAGACTATTCAAGATCGTACCAAATTAACATGCAAGATCGTGTCATCTTGCATGATTGTTCAAAAAATCCAACGCAATTTTATAGGATAACAAAATTACTGTAACCATTAATAAAATCTTGAAAAAAACTCTCAACATTTCGCCAGGTTTAATCTTTATCCTGGCATAAAAAACCTCAACCAATGCGGGAAAAACAAACATGAAAGTAAATATCAAATATTTATCACGCATTGCACGTACGCATTAAAAATGAAATACAAGACAGCTCGTATCAGGGCGAAGCCTTGAATGTTTCGACTGCATTTTAAGGTCTATTGAGCAGTAATAACATGAAACAAATTAAATGTAATAAAATAAAATTTATTTTTTCCGGTTAAAATTTTTGTGAATATCATCTCCCCACACGCCATATAAGGTACAAAGTAAAAGATTTCGCTCCCATTAACAAATCAATTTGGCAATTAAGCTTCCTTTAACCAATTTGGAACGATTTTTAAGACGGATTAAATCTCCGCTTACTCGTTAATAGCGCGAAATATATCGCGCGTTAATTGTCCCAAGTTGGCCAAAATGGCAATCTTTAAACCCGCATAAGTTTGCAAAAAATAATCACAGGTGAAATATCGTTTCAAATTTAAGCTCAGTACAACAATACCATAGAGTTATGGGCGTTTAAAGATTGGCGTTTTGGCCATTTTGGGACAATTAACGAGCGATATATTTCGCGCGATTAACGCGTAAGCGGAGATTAAATCCGTCTTAGAAATTGTTCCAGTTTGGTTGAAGGAAGCTTATTTGCCAGAGTTGGTTTGTTACTAGGAGCAAAATCTATCATGTTTATATGACATGTGGGGGGATGGGGTGATTTTTCATGTTATTACTGCTCTCTATAGATCTTAAAAGGCTTTCGGAATACTTAGGGCTTCGCTCTGATACGAGCAGTCTTGTTTAGTTAAATTTTGAGTACAGAATTCGTTTTTGGGACGAATTTTTGCATTTGAGACGAAAATGGTCAACAGACTACAGGAATCAGTTGAAAACGACAAAGAACGTTTCAAAAACTTGCAGAATAAGTATATAGGAGAATACAGTGCTGCTTTAAATTAGCCAGAAAAAACGAGCAACGAGAAAGTGCCTAAAATGCCAGTTTTTTTAAAGTTTGCCTGCGGCGCAAAAAAAAATAGTCAAAAAGCAAGCAAAGAAAAGATCTTGTTAACTATTTCCCCCACCCCCCTATGGTACCTTGTAACGAATTTCCTTCCCTATAAATAAAGAATTGAACAGTTAAGCTTATACGAATTTTTTACCTTGTTTATTATTTTACCCCTTATTACAATAGGGGGGAAATAGTTAACAAGACCCAAACAATATTTATAGTGACTTGTAATCGGAAAATCAGTTCACGGTTGACCTAAAAATGTTTAAATTTCCGATGTTTTTTGAAAAACTTGCATTTGATCCTGCAGTTTAGTAGCTCGATACGGGCATCTTGAATTATGCTTAAATTATGGGTAAATTACCTTGTTTGTACAACATGAAGTCCTTGCCAAGTTACTTTTTTCCTGATGCTCGGTGCTTTGAAGCGGTTTAGTTTTCGAGATTTGGTTGCTTTTAGACTGCTCGGTGCTTTTAAATTTAACTGCGCACGCAACCTTTCTGTGAAAGTTTTCTCTTTTCACCTCTAAGTTCTCAACCTTTCAAGCCTTCACATGCTTGCAGCTACTAAATTATGCGTAGTCTAAGAGAGACCGCCATAAAAACACCTGCAATGAAGCAACTTCATTGAGATCACGCATCACTTGAGATTTAAGAAACATTTGTTGTTCTACTTTGAAGTCTGCGGTTTGCGCGTAAGTTCTTTGTATTTGGTTAGAATAAGAGATAAAAACAGAACAAATCAGATTTTATTACCTTACCTTGACATGATATAATATACTTTTTGCCTCATATTCACATCACTTTATGTATACCTCTAACTATTCGGGACATTAAGAAGACATTTTAATATGAAAAATGCTTACAGCTATAAGAGTTTTGGAATCTTATATGCGAGCTTGGATGGGTTCAAAAACAAAAAAAAACTTTCTGGTTAACTCGAATTTTAATTGTCGTGAATTTCAACTAATTTTTCTGCAAATTATCCTAAAAAGTCGTCCTTAGAATTTCATCAGTTTTACACGTAATAAATAGCGTTTTACAACAATTATCAAAACGAGGAAAAATTTGTCATCTAATGTGTTGTCCTCTTAATGTCCTGTGATCTTATTTACTTAGTTACTTAGTACCAAATATACATTCACTGTAAACTTTTCCGTACGGCATATAGTTTCAGATCTCAGGTGAGCTAGCAATTTAATTTTTTGGGTCCCTTGAATACAAGTTGGGTCACTAAATTTTAGGTGAATCCCTCGAGAATTTATTTTGCGCTTCAAATCTCCCGAAAGAGTGCGAGCAATTGTTTATTTGCGTTTGTGAAATTTTCTCGCGTGATTCATCTTTCATACTCTTTTTCAGAGACCCAACTATCATACTTGTAACCAGTAGCGGATTTAGGGAGGAGGGGGGCGGACGCCCCCCCCCCCCCTCAGGCAATCGACCCCCTGCCGACCCAAAGGGTCCTCCTTTGTACTATTTTGAGATATCCATTTTTGGCTGACTCACCTTAAAATTGTTCTAAAGGCGCCTTTGGCGCCAATCTATGCTAATTTTGAGGAGGGAGCGCGCGGGCATAAAACGCGATTTTTTGGTTGAATATTTCAAAAAAGTGCCTAAAAACGCCTTTTTTTTCAAAGTTTTGGCCTGTTTTTTCAAACTGTTGCCTGTGGCGCAGAAATTTTGGGCAAACCAGTGTCTTTTCAGTGCTTTAGGAGAGCTCGGAGAATCAATTTGGTCTACCTTGAAAAAAGGTCGACAAAAGTTTCTTCAAAAGGGTCGTTTTATCAATTTTTTTTTCTTCTCTCTTGACAGTTATTGTATCTAAAATCATGTAGTTTGATTTTGTTATAGACATACAACTGAGAAAAAAAGTTTTTCAAAACTTTTCGGTCATGATTTTAGAGCCCGTCTAGCATTTGTTGACTTTTCAGGCCCTCTAAGTCACAACTTAGACAGTCACACTTGAAGAAAAAAAAACAATTCTAAATGAGCAAAGCTGAATTCAAAATGAGCAAAGCTGAAGGCATTTTGAAACGCGGAGATCGAAAGTGGATCTTCAACCCTCGAGTTTGGGGCGGTCATCTGAAGAAGGACCCTTCACTGGTGCTTCTGACTACTATTGTGAGCGGAGCTTGTGCTGTGGCGGTCGTCGCTCTGATCCGACACTCACTCTATAACCCGGATGTTCACTTTAGAGACAAGAGAACCCGAAGCACCTCTCGGTTCGACTACAACACTCGATTTAAATTTCTCAACCCCTCCGGCCGAGATTACAAGAGTTACGTGAACTATGAACCGAAACTGTAACACTTATACGACTTGAAGACGACTTAGATCCGGGTACCTTTGACTTATAGAAGTAAAATAGTGCATAACTGGACTACAATACTTAAAAGAGTAACACAGACTTTATTTTCCTCGAAATCAGACTAAGCTATCAATGCGTCTGGAAACTTACTTTGCTGTGAATTAATTTTGCATCAATGGGATATGGTCAAAAATGATCAAACCAATTTTAATTGTTTCCAATGCAGATACGGACATACTGGACTGTAAACTTGAAATTGAATTAGAGATCATGTCGTTTTGAGTAAGATTGCAGGAATCGACCAATTAGCATGTGTCTAAATAAGCATTTCAACGTTAAAAAAATTATAATTGAGTTTCTGCGTTCAAGGTTTGTTGGTTCAAAACTGAAATTTTTATTTGAAGTTAAAAATAAACAAGACTGCTCGTATCAGGGCGAAGCCCTGAATGTTCCGACTGCTTTTTAAGTTCTATTGAGCAGAAAGAACACAAAAACTAAAAAGTAATAAAGTAAAATTAAAATTAGAAAAAAAATTGAGATTTTTTTGTGAAAACATCCCCCCACACGCCATATTAAGTACAAAGTGATAGATTTTGCACCTATTAACAAATCAATTATGACATATAAGCTTTCTTGAACCATTTGGAACGATTTCTAATACGACTTAAATCTCGCTTACGCGTTAATAGTGCGAAATATATCGCTCGTTAATTGTGTCAAAATGTCAATCTTTAAACCCCCATAACTTTACGAAAAAGGATCACAGGTAAAATATTTTTTCAAATTTAAGCTCAGGACAACAATAGCTTTCGAATGATGTAAAAAAATCTGTCAAAAATGGCTAGTTAAAAGTCGAAATTTGTCAGATGAAAAAAAAACACCCCGAGCACAAATATTCCGTTACTTTCGTTACGAAAGCCGGAACAATTACCGGAACCGAACTTTTCCTTCCCTTAACAATTTCAATGCATTAAAAGTAGTTCAATTTTTTGGCTAAGCAATGCGTCGTTTAAATTCAATACTTAAATATATTGAATGCCTGATTTCTTCTTTTGATTTTTGTTCCGACTTTCGATACGAGAGTAACGTAATATTTGTGCTCGGAATGGGTTTTTTTTCTTCAGACAAATTTCGACTTTTAACTAGCCATTTTTGACAGATTTTTTCACATCATTCGAAAGCTATTGCTGTCCTAAATTTGAAAAAATATTTCACCTGTGATCATTTTTCGTGAAGTTCTGAGGGTTTAAAGATTGCCATTTTGGCCAATTTGGGACAATTAACGCGCGACATATTTCGCGCTATTACCGCGTAAGCGAGATTTAATCCGTCTTAGAAATTGTTCCAAATTGGTTCGAGAAAGATTATATGCCATAATTGATTTGTTAAAAGGAGCAAAATCTATCACATTGTACTTAATATGGCATGTGGGGGCATGTTTTCACAAAAAATTCTCAAACTTTTTAGAAAAAAATTTTAATTTTACTTTATTACATTCAAATTTTCCATGTTATTACTGCTCCATAAACTTTAAAAGGCAGTAGGAACAACCAGGGCTTCGCCCTGATACGAGCAGTCTTGTTTTTAATTTAGAATTTGATTTTTTGCTGGAAATAAGAGATTACGGTCACAATTGCCCAGCAATTCAGTAATGAAAACTGATTATTTGGTTAAACAAATGGACCAAATTAAATGCAAATCGATTTCTAGGAGGTTTAGAATGGCTCGTAATTAAAATTTTTGCATGAATTACGATCTAGCAAATGATCTTGACTATCCTCCATGAAAATATCGACGATTGTTTTCAAACAGTGCGCGCGCACTTTCATCTAGGTCTCAAAATGTCAGTTTTCAGTTTATTTTATGAAGATTTATATTGAAATCGAAGCGAGTAATATTTTGCTTAAAATTATTCTGTATTAACAGTTATTATCACTGAGAAAAATATACATGAAAAGAAGATGTCATTAGAGATAAAGGATCTACTAAACCATCTCCCCCTTTCAAAAAAAAGGGGGGACTAGATTGCTAAGTAGATTTCAACCCTCTAAAAAATGTGTTCAACCCACTAAAATCGGCGCTTCTGGCAGCGAATTTTCGACCAATCAGAATGCAGCAAAGCTCGATATTACATACAACGCTCTAGTGCGAATTTACTGTTTTGGAAATTTTAAAGTAGATACAATAGAGGGGGGGGGGGGGGGGGCGATTGTTAAGTAGAATGTGAGTTAAACACATGATATGCTCCCATTTTTGGTAAACGTAAACTGCATATAACATACATAGCCTGATTTTCGTCAAAAAAATGTTAAGTAGACCGAGAACTCACTGGTTGACACATTTTTTTTAGTTGCTTAAACTCGACCTCATAATAGAAACAGAAAGACAAAAAAAATTAGATCAGAACATCTTTTGTTCAGCTGCAAGAAAACGATGAGTTCGTATAGTTTTTCTCTTTAAGTTCCAATTAAAAGTCTTATTTTGGATGAGTTCCAATGTCATCACAAATATCTGGTGTAAATTTTACAACGGCAACAAATTTTTTAAGAGACAGCTGAGTTTCAGAAAAATTTCACATTCAACATTTGACTTTCTAACGAGATTGTTTTTTTGAGTTAGAACACCCCATTGGAATTTTTGCTGTAGATCCTAAAAACTAGAAGCATGAGGCCCGAAGTAAAATGACTACTTTTTAAAGCTGAGTTCCGATATATATTAACTGAAACTAGCTGCATTAGCTCGCTCTCGATTTAAGCAAAAATTTCAACAAGACTGCTCGTATCAGGGCGAAGCCCTGGTTGTTCCGACTGCCTTTTGAGGTTTCATGAGCAGTAATAACAAAAAAAATTAAATATAATAAAACAAATTGAATTTTTTTTTCTAAAATTTGAAAATTTTTATGAAAATCATCCCCTCCCCCCACACGCCATATAAAGTACAAAAAGATAGATTTCGCTCCTATTATTATATCAATTATAGCATATAAACTTTCTTGAACCAATTTGGAACGATTTCTAAGGCGGATTAAATTTCCGCTTACGCGTTAATAGCGCGAAATATATCGCGCGTTAATTGTTCCAAATTGGCCAAAATGGCAATCTTTAAACCCCCGTAACTTTACGAAAAATGGTCACAGGTGAAATATCTTTTCAAATTTAAGCTCAGGACAACAAGAGCTTTTGAATGATAAAAAAAGGCGTCAAAAATGGCTAAAAATGGCTAGTTAAAAAGTCGAAATTTGTCTGAAGAAAAAAAACCCACCCCGAGCACAAATATTCCGTTACTTTCGTATCGAAAGTCGGAACAAAAAAACACTGAATGATTATGATTCTATTTTGACCAATGAAGTTCAATGCATGCAAACTTGGGGTATTTTTTTTCTAATCAAGTTATAGTCGATTTTGAAATTGTACTTTTCAACACATTTTTGTATAAGTTGTCAAATTGGACTGATTTATCGGCGCTTTATTTTCAGTTTGCGTATTTTAATGAAGCGTAGCAAATTACTTTGCTCTAAACATATTGCACTCTTTTTTAGTCCCAGTTTGTTACTGAAAATGTGCCAATGCGTCATTTTAAAATTGAAACCAGAGACCAAAATAACGACCAAGTGAACGATCTCCCCCCTAAATCAGCTTAAGAGAGGGATTGTTCAGTTGGCCTTACTCCTTGAATTTGCCTTTTAATTTTAGGGCGGAGATTGTTCACTTGGTCTGTTCAAGGGGATAATGTTCACATGGGCCCAAAATAATATCTTATCATATTATCAGTGAAGTAGTTCTTGTAAAGTTATGCAATTTTTAAAAATAAGTATGCTTCGAACAAATCATATTATAAAAAAAATGGTCATCATGTAACGATTAATTTTTTGCTTGTGTTTGGCCTGAAGATCAAAAAACTTATTCTTCATTGTTTTGAAGCAGCAAGATCTAATTTTGAGCAGAACATCTTGTAACAGTTCCATATTTCTTGTCTCAAAAACAATTTTATTCTATCAGGAACCAGATTTTTTCGATCGTATATTGAATTTTTGGATGTAGAACGATTTTTTAAATATTTCTTAGGGAAATTTTAAAGTAGCGCATTTTACCGTCAAACTGATAAGCAATTGCGCCATCTATGTCCTCATGCATACTTTAGAGTATGCTTTGTTTACCAAAGAAGGCTCGTATAAAGAGAACAAAACTGGAGACCATTTGGACATTGAGATGGTCTTAGTCTTCGTGACTGACTTGAAAAAATTGAGCATTGAGCAGAAATTTAAAAAAAATGTTTAAAGGAAAAAGTCTAGTTTTCGGTTACAAGTCGCTTGCTCTCGCAAAATAAAACAATTGTGCTAAATCTGCTAAGTGTGTTTTTAAAAGTATGCCTATAAACTCCAAAAAAAACACAAAAAATTAACAGAAATTATCACGATTGAAACTAAAGTTATGGTTGATTCTGATGTCTACTGTAACACAAAAAAAACACCGATACTCAACCTTTCACATATTTAGTAATATTTCTTCTTTGTGAACTTCGAGCTTTCATTTTGTGCGTTTCAATTTTATGTAACTTCTTTTAAAAAAACTAATTAAGATATTTTAGAAAGGAAAAAAACAATAGTTAATTATCACCACTTACACTTAACACCAGAAATTTGTCGTCCAAGATATTGATTTTGCATCGAAAATTAAAAAAAGAAGTTTGTTTTTCTGGAAAATTGAGCTGAAGAAAAAGACGACAAAATTATATTTTTAAAAACTTCATACCTTTCTTTTGTGTCTCATGAGGTTCATAAGCAACCTTAGCAAGAACAGAGAACATTGATCGAGCGGCAACTAAGGCAGAAAAACTTGGGTTGACCCTCGTTGAGCTGAAAATGAAGCTGTAGTTATGAAAGAAGTTCACGCTGGAAAACTTTTAGAACCAAAATTTTTTCGACCAATCCTTCCTGGAACATGCCAAAACTTTTTTTAAAAAACTGCCCTCAAAACTGCGCATATTAAAATGATTATGCCAATTAACATAAGCCGAACCCGTTTTACAATGAAAATCAATAAAATTGTTTTATATAAAATTAAGTAAATTTAAAACTACAGAGCAACTTCCAGTTATAATAAGAACTGTTCCAATCAAAATTTACAAAACCTAAGTTTAGTAGAGAAACCGCTTTAAAAGCGTACCAAATAAATTAAATTGCATTTAACACAAAAACGGAAAATCAGCCGACAGAAATTAAGTCTAAATTTTAATTTCTGAAAGATCAATATTGTTTCAATAAATAAAATT